AGCAGGAATTCAGGTGGATTTTATAAGAACAAATCATACGGAACCAATGTTTGGATCTGATATGGAAACTACCAGACAGGCAGAAACTTATGTAGAAATAGATATTCCTAGAGTTAAAAGCAGTATCTTATGCTCCCAGTATCTTCGAGGTGCTCAGATTGTGATTATTTGTTCCAGCAATTTTCTAGAACGAAGTTGAGCTGATTGGACTGTAATTACATAGACTTCTCTTCCTTCAGAAGCAGCCACTGTATTTGTCCTTCTCCAGTCTTACAATAACTGATGATGGCAGTAAGATTTCATCCGACCTTTAAGTGTCTTCTTTAAGCAACAGAGTAACAGAAGTGAGGAGACAGCTCTGGCAAGAGATGTAACTAAGATCTCAGGGCCAGACATTTCAAGTGCCTCACTCTTACAGTCAGAATGAGATTTTGGAGGAGAAAAAATAGAACAAGAGCCCTTTATGGTCTTGTGTAATGACAGATTTTGAAAACTGAATAGTAGCTTTCATTGTACTTCCGGCTACATTTTCAAATTTCCTCAGTGGTTGTTATGCAGGACTAAGATGCAGCTTATAGATAATTAACAAAACAATTTTCTTAAAACCAAAACTACAGCGCAATGCTGATAGCAAAAATCAGTTTGGCTGATTTTAATCCTAAACTCTTGGTGTACCCATGGAATGACAGCATTTGATTAAACAAGCATTGAAAAGCACACTGAAAAGCTGACTGCTTTACTCTCTTTATCTTGGAAGATTTTCACTGGGAATGGTTTTACCTAACCAAGGTAAGATCTACCTCAGAAAAAGCTGAGAGGAAATTGCTCAGATTTCTGAATAGAAAAATGAAATAATGCTGCAGCATAAATTGAGATACTGACATTGTATGGATCATACAGAATTAATGATAGTTGCTGTAAATATGCCATCAATGTTTCATGAAGGCCTGTAGTCAATCTTTCGTGAAACATACATATGCACGTGTATGCACACTTATATACACATACACATAAAATCAGAATAAAAGACAACAACAAAAAAGTGGATTTTTCAATTTCCGCTAAGTGTGCAGAGTGGTCATAACACAGCAGTTTTCATGACTAGCAAAGTGAGTACCAGAATTTCCTCATGCTACAAATGGACATCACCGTGCTGAGATCTAGTCAGGTAATCCCAATCAGGAAAACACTGCACGAGAATTCATAACAAAATGTTACGGAATATTCCCTCTGCTGTAAAACAAAAAAATCTGTTTTGAACAGATAATTCAGGTAAGAGTAAAGAATATATTTTTGTGCCCTTCTACCACAAATCTGGATGCCAGTGACATTGCTTAAAGAAGGAAAATGACAGCGATGGATTACCTCTGTCTTTACTTGAGTCCTGAAAGCCTGGTCTTACCTGAGCGGTTGTTAGGAGACATGCGCACGGGAGAGATGGAGGGCGTGCGTGATGAAGAGTACGGTCTTTGCCGATCCCTTTCTATTGTTGAAGATGAGGCTACAAAGTGATACTGTGACCATCCGTCCTGCAACACCAAACAACGCAACAGCAGTCAGTGACCACACTGTGCAGTTCCCCACTTTAAGTACAGAGTATTTTGCTCTAGTGTTTTCACTATGTATACACAAGCGGGCTTTTTTCCACCACAAATGTTCTTAGCAGTGCAGGATACAATGTGGTGACTGTACTGACACACCAGGAGAAAAATTAAAATGCAGAAAGTTCTGTAAAACAGCACATTTCAGAAAGACTCAAATTATGACAACAATGAACAGCTTTTTAGGCTACTTGTTTAATAGATCTGTCTTTTTCCATGCCTCTATTTTCACATTGCAAATGGGATTCCGGCTATGAAAATATTCCAAATCGTAAAACTGCTTCTTTTCATGGCAAAAATCAGTTTTTCATTTAAATAATTTCTCTCTTATAAGGAAATTTTGGAGTAAGTAGATGGGGAAGCTCCAGGATTATAAAAATTATTGTAACTATTGAGCTATCTATATTCTAGTTACATTAACTGTCCCTTTGTTCACATGAGGGAAAATAAAACCCCAATGCATTTTCCTCATTGCATTTATCTCCAAGATGTACAGAAGGAAATTCTATTCCTTTTATTTAAAACTGTTGTAATGGTGATGTATTTAGAAAAAAAGAAACAAAGTAATACAAACACCAGAAACAGCTAGTTCAGAAATAAAAAATGAGAGTTTTAATAATTAATGTTTTGTTCCAGTACCATAATATAATGCAATAATCCAAAATAATGTACTTTACATTTTTAAAAGAATATTAAAATAGTTTGAAAGTATCATGAGAGAATAGATTAACTTTTGCTAGTGCTCTTATTAAATGACAGTATTTCATATATCTTAAAGTACTGACAGGGTTTTTTACTGTCTTTATCACTCCTTAATGTTAAATCTAAATCAGTAACACAGAGTTTGCCCAGTCTCACACTGAAGGAATTAGCCATTTAAAAATGCCTACTTTCTGTTGGGCTCAGTGGAAATCAATTCAAGCATCTTGCATGGTGCTGAACAAAATTTTTGCAGTGAAATGCTGAATAAAAACAAACACAATAAAATACTACCAAAAAAACAACTGGAATAATCTTCTTGCTTTCAGAAAAATAAGTCTTCGTTGGAGTAAGAAAGAATATTCCTACCTGCTACATGAGGCTGCTCTAGGCATCCAAGCCTGGACCCCACCTCCTCCCACTCTCTGCCTTTGCCAAGGGTGTCTCTCTGACTTTGTTCCCTCCACAGAAACTACAGGCACTTGGCTCTCAGAAATGCAAGAGAAAATGGCCTGAAAATCCCCCTTTCACTAAACTTTCAAGAAAGAGAACTCGGCAGGAGTGTGACACTTTCTCTTTTAAAAACAGCAGAAGGAAAGAAGATACTTATACTTGATGGTAGAGGGAAATGTTGTACGTAAATGAGGATAGACAGATGTGACACCTGACTACAGATTCTGAACGTCTGTACTCCTTACCCAATGCATTTGTATAAACACATGTGTATCTTGGTTGTAATTTCAAAGGAAAAAAAAGGAAGAGTGAAGTCTGAGCCATAGCTTTCACAGCAGACTTATGACTTTCCCTGCAGTCGGTAGTGAGCATCTGTCCACAGAGATCACCAATGTTTAGGACACTTCACTGAACTGTACCTCATATTTCATGACAGTCATGTATGAAAATAAAAGGAAAAAAAAACCCCATTTAATTAAAAAAATAGTAAGAGTAACTTGGAAAATGAAATAGTTAATCTTTAATACCACTTGCTTAAACCAAAGTTTTCTATATCCAATCGTTCATTTCAAGCATCAACACGCAGCTTCTACACAAGATGCGTCCTCCAACCCAGAGGGAGAATCAGTGAGAATGCAAACAAAACTATCTGTAAAGCCCTAAGATCTTAGTGTTAAATTGAATTGGAAATTATGATAAACTTTTCAATATACACACATATATAAAATATGTATATAGAATATATATGTATTTTTAAAAATAACTAACAGTTTACAGTTATAATTAATAGCTTAAGTCAAATAATTTTATCCAAGCATCAAGACTGTAAATAACATACCTAGCATTATTTTTACATCTTCTGTTAATAATAACTTGTATGGTCATTTCTCCACTATAAAAATGAAGTAGCAAACATGTGAGAAGCCCATGCTGTTATCCTGCTGAAGAAAAATGATTCCCTTCTTCTCCTTTCTCTGGGGTCAGAAGTTCTTACCAGAAAGGTGGCTCTCTATAATTCACTCTGTTATAGTTTTCTGATCATTTATTTTCTTTTAAACAGACTGCAGAAGAGAAGATATCAAGAGGACAGGCTCTAGATCTGATGAAAGGAGAAGGAATAGACTATTTATTACTGTCTGCCAGCAAAAGCAGGAGACATCAGTCATGCTTACATAGTGCAAGTCAGAAATGCTTCCAGCCATGTGGATCTGCATGCCTGCAAGGCCAGGTACACTCTCCTTTTGCACTCTTGCTTCCATCAAATAAATCCTTGGCATGTGGGTCAGAAAAAAAGTGATCTGAATCTTCTCCTAAACTTTTCTTCCTGTGATAAAGTTTACATTAATACCTGGATCCTGGTTCTGATGGGAAGTGGATGAAATAAATCCCTGTTTTCTACATGGTCCCACAGATTCCACAGGACTAGCATGCTGCACCAGTTTTGTTCTGCAGAGTATCAACAGGTACTTTGCCAACATTGGCTCCTCAGAAACAGCATTGCAAGTTGCCTCAACAGTGAGGGTGCAAAATTCAGCTGTAGTTGGGATGCTAGCAATAGCATTCTTCTATGTGGTGGATGTCTTCCCTTCGTCTCCTCCCTGCAAGTTATCATTTTTCTCTCTGCTGAGAGTAGTGCCTACAGTGAGGTCTTCAAATACAATGCTACAAATATTCAAATTTGCAAGTCCAATTAGCTCAATAAAACAAGCCAGGCAAACAATAACCTCTAACACAAGTATTGTGGTGACTTGGCATTGCTTTTGACTACACAAGGTGTATTGTTATCACGGTACAACAATCTTCATGGTGTTTTTCCAACAGCATTATGGGCAGCTCCTAGGACTCACAGTATTTCAAAATCCTACTACGTCTCAGTCATCTATCTTTAGGTGTCCTCTGCTGCAAGGAAGAAGCTTCTTTCACTGGAAAGGTAAACAGTTTGTAACAAATTCATTAAAACTATCCCCATCAACAATTCCAAAAGCTATTAGCACTAAATATTGAAACTAATTTTTAAGAGCCTAAAGGGAGTATTTTCAATTTAATGCCGAGATAAATACCACCTGACGTGATGGCTGCTTTCATTAGTTTGTTTCAGCTCTAGTGCCTGTAATGAAATTTAATTAAATTGATTTGAGTACTTAAAGGTACAGTATATAGCAGTGTCCTGCAGAGAAGAAAGCTAACTCAAACCCAAAGTGTGTGAGACTGCATTTCAGAAACCAATTTATCAGCCACAAACATGATCTAGGAGAAGAACAGTAAGACAGAAAGATCTGACAAATTGGAAAGAAATTCAATGCAATTCTGTTACAGGATGGATGCATTTGTTAACTGGCAGCAATTAATTAATAGGTGGCAACTGAACACTACAAGGAGGGCACAGAACAGCCAGAGTACAGAAATATCAATATATGTCCTTATCTCTTCCAAAGCATCTTCTACTGGGCAGTTCTATATTTTGATTATAATGAATAGATGTATTCTCCCTCAATTATACTACATAAATTCCAGACGTTAAAGCTTGATTGGCAGTGACATGCTTTTGATATGTCCTGGGCAAAGCTGCAGGGATGAGATCTAGGGTGGGGGTTTGATAACCACTGCAGAATACAAGGAGGTGGCCAAGTAACGTGTGGTGGAGTCAGACGCGGGGCACCGACACTGCCAGCCTCGGTGACCTCATGGCATCCAGTCAGAAAGAAACCACACATCAGCTCATGTGCTAGCAGCAACACAGCAGAAGTAAGAATGAGCCCTACTCTCTGATCAGCTGCTAGGAAGACACCGACTTAAAAACCACTGAGTGCTTTAGAACAACTGTATGGTGGCTGCATGTACATCATTATCTTTCAAAGCTGAAGAGCATAGTCTGCCCTGACTCCTGGCCACCAAGGAAAAAGAAGGAAAAAGAGCAACTTCTCAGAAGCAGAGAAATCCCACTAGAGAAAAGATACAAAAATGATGCTACAAATCCAATAATGAAGTAGCTAAAACCTGAGAAACTATGGAGAATGTTGTGTCTTGCCTCCTCCAAGTTGACAAACTCTCCAGCATGTTACTTCTTGATTCAGGACTGATCCTCTTGTGACTTGATTTAATAGACAATTTTCCAAATTACTTTAAGCTAACAGGACCAGACCTACTTCCTTCTGTAAGCCAGCATTTTACTGGTTCCAAGAATTAAATGTAATAACTGCTCCTGTAATGGTAATAAGCTGTAGAAATGGGAAGTTTTGATAGGGCAACCACTTGCAGGAATTGGTAACTAGACCCACCACAACGTTAGAATTTGGTGATACAGCAACAAGGCAAAGTGCCTGTAACCATGTATCGTAGGATATACTCGCTGTGAAGCTCAGCCAGACACTGCTCTGAGTTGCTGGTGTTGCATCTTGTGTAAACGGAAGCACTGCTGTCAGGTTAAATGAAACATCCTGACTGGTGTGCACCAGTGTGACACTGTCTAGAGTAAAAGATAAATCTGATGTGAATTAAGTCAAGGCTCATCAGACTTACACAGGTCTGGGCAATTCTTCACCAGGAATTTGTTGTCACTACACTAATAAGACATAACAGAAATTAGACCTGGATCAAATTATCTACACACACTGACATATGAAACTTATGCGCGTGACTTGACTGTGGTGAGAAACGTAAAATGCTAACAAGGTTGGGGTGATCCACATATGTATCTCACGGAGCTGTTAAATGTGATTTTTGAAAGAATGTGGTTTAAGTGTTCACTAAGGCTTTACAACCTGGGATCATATTAT